GGGGGGGGGGGGGGGGGGAATGGACAGCGCACAATCAGGTTCTCTTGTTTTGCCATGCAAAAGTTGGCAATAATACTGTACAGGATCGTGACACATAATAAACCAGAGACGCTGTAGAACCAGGACCATCCGCGACTATGAGAGTCTCCATGCTGAATTAAACGTTCTACAGTGGATCCGTTGTTGCTTCATCGAAACGACTTAACAGTTGCATGAGCAGAATGCTAGCACGACGTACTGAAGGTTGGTGTCCTGTGAAGGAAAGTCACCATTTTCCTCCAGTCTGTGAAGGATCAGTTCTTAAAATACCAGGCAAGTGTGGGAAAGTTTATACTGGGCAAGCACGGCATTCCATTAAAAAAACCAGAGTCAAAGATGCCATCACAAAACTTGGTTTTACCATCCACATAAGTTGGACATGGCAGATAAAAGCACTGACAGGATCAAAAGGGAAGCAACAGAGATCAAGCTGATAACATGAACAGGGATGCGACTCTCTCTTGATCCTACTTTCCTTTCTGTCCCTTCTTTTTATCTCTATTGATCTAGACTTTCTCTGTGATATAGTCGGCGCAGTAGTTTTTGGCCGATGGAATTTTCAAGGGGAAGGCTAGGAGCGAGTCTCTTTCGCGATAGTATAATGCTGACTGCACCGAGGAGCTCGTCGGACTGAACGCCCAAACAAAAGAAATACACTGACCGTGTCACTTCAATTACACAGAGTAAGCCCAGGCCCGTCCGCCAGCTCCGCTAGCTTCTCCACCGGCCAAAAACTACTACGCCGACTATACCCTATCAGGGCCTCTTTTCAATTGGTCAATTGACTCCATCTCGCTAGGACTGTGACTGGTCAACCCCTTCAAATCCCACACATAATATCCACTTCCTAACACCTCTCTTGATATCTAACGCCGTGTCCCACGTTCAGATGTCAGATACATAATAGGAATATCAAAGTTCATCCCATCATGCTATATGGAGCTATGAACAACAGGAAGAGGTTTCAGGAATCCAAAACAAAATCCTTTGGACTATCTGCGTTGGAAATAGGTACACAAAAATTACACCACTATTTATTACTCTGATTTCCAGAATTTTGAATGAAGAAAGTGAAAGTGTGTTGTAAATGCATCAGATAACACAACATCCCAAAACTGGGCAGCTATGACAAAAGTGACCCATCTAAGAATTTTAATAACATAATATAAATACCCCCAAAATATGAATCGGTTTAAAGGAGACATTGCTTTGATTATCGGTTTATGCTGAGGGCTTGAACTAACAATTTTAATTTGGATACAAATCAAAAGCTTCTGTTTCTATAATTACAAATGTTTCAACACTTGAAATTAGTTTGTTATGGTTTCTGTATTGCATCATCGAAAAAAAAAATTAAAAATATGTATGGTTGGTAATAAGTACTGTTGGAATAGAATGCGTGCGCCATCTCTGAGACAAACATATAACCTTGTTAGTATCACTGCAGAAACACTTTATGCGGAATTTAAACACTTTCGAAAATTGATATCACGACAAAATGTACAAAATAATCTCAACTACGAATGAAACATAACGTAATTAATTTATTACAAAATATTATTTTTAAATTACCAAATTAATACGTTCCCTTCTTTCATTAATATAAAAGGAAGCTCGCTTCAGTTGGCAATTTAAGGTCTCGTACTACGATTACGGTTTCCATTATGAGCTTTAGACCTGATAAAACGGAAAGATGGTCGTCTTATGGGTTGTGCCGTGTAGTCCGGTAGAAGTCTACAGACGTTTCAGAGGTGCTTGCTATCTGCGTCATGAACTTAGTGATATTGTAATAAAATTGCAGAAAGTAAACAAGCCAAGAATTTTGAAGGACTAAATTCAGGAAATTAAATTTGCCGAATAAGGAATTCATTCTATGAATGTTAAGATAATTATAACAAGTCACAGTAGCGTGGTCAAATCACTTCTGCAGTAAGTTTAGGCGTACCGAATCGAAGCGCCATCTCTTAGGCACCGTCGCAAACCTTGAGCGTAAGCATAACATCAACTTCCGAATCGCTGACTAGTGGCTGGGAGTGATGGCGCGCTCCTGTAATCCAGCTACTTGGAGGCCAGGTGTTGAGGATGATTTGAGGTCGGGAGTTCTGGTGCATTGTGGCTCACGTTGACTGGGCGTCCGCACTAAGCTCGGCATCAATATGGGCGCCCTGGGGGAGCCCGGGGTGGCCAGGTTGGCTAAAGAGGGGCGGACCGGGCCAGGGGGGAAACCCAGCAGCCAGAAGTCCCCGTGTGGAGCAGTAGTGGGATTGCGCCTGGGAGTGGGAGCTGTGTAGTAGCCCGACCAATAAAATTAGACCAACATCTTTTTTCGCTTATTTCTTTAATTGTTTTACTGCAGGATCAACTGGAAAAATAACGTCATTACAATAAATATATTTATTCTGTTCTGTCTTTCTTGTCTGTCATTTCCCCACCGCCGACAATTGTGCCACGAAGTTAACATTCCTCATTATGAATACTACAAATTATTTAGTTTATTAAAATGTCTCTTTCATTATTTAAATGTTTGTATACTAGGAACTATGAGTGACTCATTGGTGTTGCAATCTATAAACAGGGACCACAAAGAAAAGGATGTCCTGAGGTCATTAGAGTGACCAATGCTTCAAAATGTACGCATCATTTTCACTGAAGGTGGAAACATTTAGCTTCTCCACTGAAACATTCATATAGAACCAGAAGACCACACTCTGTACTAACATCAGTGTGAGGACCTCAACATTCATATGTCAGCAGTATATGATAATGTACAGGAGTCATAAAAACTTAAGACTAAATAACTAAGAGACCTGAAAATAGCTTTACAAGTTTCTTAAATTATTTATGTTTCCATGAATATGTTTACAGATAATTTCAGTTCACCCTTAAATTATTTATGACATACCTTGCAGTCTTGTTATTTGGATGAAATATATTATGAAGATACAAGGATGTGTTTTGTGTATGGGATTTCCATTAAACTTTGCAGGCAAGTTCCCAAGTGTTACATATCAAAATTTTCATAAGAGAATATTGAATATTAAGCTCATTATATTGTTATATTTTGTGACACAGAAAAATGGAATGCAAGCTATAAGAAAGTCAGACATTTTACAGTTCTGGTGATCATAGAAGATACTTCCTCTGTTTGTTTCTGTCTTTCTTTGGCCAACAGCCAACACTTAAATTGCATATAACAACAAAAATATGAGTGTTAGTGCTGATTTGAATTTACAGAAGCCTTAGGAACAAGCTGAATGATGTGTTCAGATATTCATCTACATTGCACATAACATTCTAAACTGAACAGTTATGCAGATTTGTTGAAGTATGGCCTTTCCTTTTGAACTGTAAACTATGTTATGAAAAGTTCTTCTATACGTTGAGACGTTAATAATGTTAATATCACTTATCTCATACAAATAATAAATTATTTAGGTACCACTAGGAATCTGTTAAAGTCAGAACTGTTTTTCCGACTTCAGTCTGACAATATTTTGAAGTTAAACATAAAGCTATAAATTATCTAATACAGTTTTTCTGATATTGTCGTAGGTACTACTGGGTACTGATGCCAATTATATGTATCCTGCTGCCTTGGAATGCTCCAGTAGAATACTGGAATGAAAGTATCCTGACTTCTCTGCTTGTACTGATCTTCCTGCGATGCACTGTTGCTTTGCAGTGTGCTATGCTTATCAACACTGCAGTGCATGTCTGGGGTATTGTTCCTGGAGACAAGTAAGTATTTCAAGCCACATTCACAACCCTGTGGGGCTCCTGTTAGAATCACTCCAGCCATCTGTCCATATATATATATATAACAACTTGAGAACAGCTGAGTGGATTATCATGAAATTTGTTACCGGGAGTTTTAATAAAATGTTTTGTTCAGACCAGACAACAATAACAGACCTCTTACAGGAAATTACTTGGTGGGGAATCCCCACAAGGAAAATTCTCAGATGGGGAGTTGCACTGTCATCCACAAGGGTGAAATTCTAGTGAACACACAAGAACTGGTATGCTGTGCATACATTTCCTAATCTTTAAGATTTGAGGTTTTCACAGCAGTGAGTATGAAGCTTTCTGTCAGGCCCTGATGATGGAGGTAGTATGACCTCTGAAACGTTGGTTAACATCGACCAGACTACACAGGGCAAGATGAGAAATCAGGAGATCTTGACACTGTGTTTAAATCTTTGAAACTGTGAGATTAGATGATGCAGATCCATTTAGCATAACCTTTTAGTACTCAATTGTGCAGTAAGTGATGTGGTGCCATCTTTCTGGAACCACTGTCACATATGTTCCCAAGCAAACTCCTGTGTGCCTACTCTACATACCTACGACCTTGGAAACCTCTCCATTCCTCGCATCATTGCAAACAACTCAACATAAAAATGTCAGTCAACTGTGCTAGACCCTGTATATGTGTAAGCCTCTCAGCCAACATTGTATGTACATTTTTTTGCTTCCCATGTGTTCTAAAAAACATCTTGTCTGTGCTATCCTTCTTGCATATCAGTGCAAGATGCAAACAGCACCCAGAGTTTTCTAAATTCTTCTGTTGCCTTTCCCCTAGCAGGTATATAACCATGTGGATAATATGAAACACTGTGTTGCAGGTCATATGCCAACAGCAATCTCGTATTCTTCTTGACAAAGACCTACTGGCCACAGTACCATTATATGCTTCCCTGGGACTATCAAACAGGAGAGTTTGGCAACTATGGAAAGGGCTGTACGTCCACATTCATCCGTATCTGGGCAGCAATTGGTTGGGCCACAGGACTGCGCACTATGGATACGTCATCTATAAGAAATGCCCTTGTGACAGCAATACAAACAAAGAAACCTGTGATTGATTGTCTTTGTGATGCAGAAAATTTTTCCAAACAGTACAATGAAAGAGAGAAATTCTTGAAACCATCTCAGAGTTTGTAGGAAAAATAATTGAAATATAAGTTTTAATTCAGAACACTAGCATTCCTCACATTTAATATATACTTCAGCATTTTATGTTTCTAGAATGAAATGTGCAAGTCTTGAACACTTGAGTGATGTGATAATATAAGTTAGGAAAGGATCTAGAATTAAAGTGAATAACTACCTCCCCAATTTAAAGAGTCTTAACCCATATTCCCATTATTAGCTGGAAGAACTGTATCATCAAAGTAACGCACTAAAAACTGAATGGCGGGCAAGGGTAGGGTCTTTTCTCTTAGTCTCCACTTCCAGACTGGCTGTGGGATGCACCCAGCCTCCAATCAACAGCAGGCTAAGCAGCTGGACAATAAAGCTCACCAGTCACCCCTGTCTAGAACCAAGGTTTAGAATGTTTGGTGCTTGGAATCTCTTGTATTAAATGAACTTTAAAAATCATGGATTGCATCATGTGACCACTTAATTGAAAGTTATTCAAAAAATAAATATACAACTGTGAAATTGTGTGTGAAACTTCGTTTTAATTACAAGAAATCTGCATTTCTGTTAAATTACTTGGTCCAATGTTTTACCATTCTCACAGAATGATAATGATTACTGCTGAAATAAAATCCTGAACTCCACTGAAGTGTAAAGTCTGTTCACTTATTTATTGGACAACTATAGTATTGTTCAGCAGAATTGGCGGCTGAGTCAAGTTCTGCTCTTTGTGAGTGACCAATCAGCGCAAAGAAGGTCTGTTGGTAAGCAGCTAGACCTCAGTATGTTCAGAAACTGTGTGATGGAAGCATCGGCTGCCGCACTGCATTGTTGGCAGTTCTCACGTCTTCTTTGCATTGTGTTGTAACCATTCACTGGAAAATAATGTTCCTTGATGCTACATCTGACACCACTGCATGTTTCCTCACTATCTCACCCACCCACCTCCCACCACTACTTCCTACTGTGGCAAAGTACATGTGATTGGTGCACACTTTAGCCACCAATTCAGCTGTAAACTGTTATAATTACAAATTTGTTGCTTACTAATTTGCTCTTTTATCCTTTAAAATAGAAATTACATGTAAACATGCGTTTTTAAAAACATTCTGATGTCTCTCATTAGTCCATTGAAATATATGTCTATGGAGGATAATTTTGACACATGAAAAGTATTAAGGCATTACGAGCATTTGTTTTATGGTTCTGAAAACTCTATTTGGTTTGGTTTCGTGGACATGGTTAGTACTATATAACACTCTGGTGCATATTCTTGTAGGCTTCAGCTTCTTCAGAGATGTGGGGAGAGGAAATAAAAAAGCAACTAGACTCATGAAAGTATGCAAAATTCCAAACTTGAATGTTCACAATTCTTAAATCAAACTAAAACCTGATTTAACCTGACTCAACACACTTGCAACTAACATCTCCTAATTACCTACCAATGAATCATCTTACCTAACCAAATCTACACTTACCTATCCTCACGAAACCTAAAATTTCTCAAAATTACAAGTCTTTTCAGAAAAAAAAATGATGTGACCATGAAAGAATACCAACAAAATGGAAGGAGGGTTTGATATGTCCAATTTTTAAGAAAGTTAAAATGTAATACAGATTGTACATATTATTTGTTGATTTCAGGCAAGCTTTTGATAGCATACATGTTATTTATAGCTTTAGAATCATATGGTATACCAGAAAAAATAACAAGGCTAATAAAAATGACTAAATGATAGCACATCAAAGTACTTGTGATAAATGATTGTGGTAGACCTTTCAACATATCAACAGGAGTAAGACTATCATCAGCACTATTTAATGTGTCACTAAATATGGTCTTAGAAGGAAATACTGTTTACAAATACAAACAAATCTGTGTTTATGCTGATGACATTGTCTTGGTTACAAGAAATATTCCAGCATTAAAAGAATAATTATCTGCATTGGAGACTGAGGGAAGAAAAATTTGACTAGAAATTAATGAAGAGAAAACTAAGTATCTGAAAATGTCCTCTTCACAAGCAAGAAGATAACCTCAAAACTGAACAATATTGATTTTAATTTTGAAATTGGAGACAATGAAAATAAAATGTTGAAAGACATTAATTTCAAAATAATGACAGGAAAGCAGTTTAGTATGTGCATTATATGCATATTATGCACATACTAAATTAGAATAAAACAAAACTCTAATAAGACCTATTCTAAGTTAAGGGTTGGAAACTTGAACAGTGACTTAGGAAGAAATAATGGCCCTTTGAATATTTGAAAGAAAGATTACTAGAACAATCCACAGTCCCATAAATGAAGGGGAAAGCTGGAGAATCCTCACTAATGGTACCTGCACCTTGTCGTGGTGGTGGGGCTTGAGTACCTCAGTGATCCCAAGAGCTATGTTGGCGGTAGCATATCTACTGGTAGGGCCTCCCTAGCCAGATTGGTCGAGGGGGAGAGGTCAGAATAAGACAGGTACCCTGGTCCTCCAGGTTGGGGGGGTGGTCACAAGGCTAACAACCTTGCACCGTAAAAAGGAAGATGTTTCGAAACCTCAACCTCGGACAGACAGACCTAACAGAGGACCGAATGGAAGAGGAGAATTGAGGAGGCCATGGACCGAATACGGACCAGAGAGCCATAGAAGAAGAAGCTGGAGAATACAAACTAATAAGGAGACAAGGGGACATCATAGAAGGGGCAGATATTTTAAAATTTGCCAACTCTCAGATTGAGATGGTGTGTACATATTGAAAGGATGAATAATTAAAGAGTGTCTAAAAATATAATGAGAACTAAAATGGAAGGAACAAGGAAAAGAGGTAGACCACATAACAGTTGGGTAGATGAGGTCAAAGAGAATTTGAAGATTGTGAGAATAAGAAGTTGACATACAGTGGCTAAGGACCATCAAGAATGGAAGAAAATTGAAATGGGAGCTAAGGTCCACAACGGAATGAAGTGCTTGAGAAGAAGAAAATTTGCAGTCCCTGTGCACTTCATACAAACAACATGATAACCCAACCACATTTTTGGACTTACAAACTTTCAATTGAAAACTTAGAATTTATAAAAATTCAAAGTTTGTGACAATTTGATAATTTAGAAATTAACTCTTCTACATTTACACAATTGAAGCATTTTCAAAATAAAAATTCCCTTATTTGAAATTCTAATATTCAACATTCATATTTAAACATTTATCCTACACTAAACTTCCCTTACCAGAACTAAACAAATCCTACATGCCAGTGATAAATGGGCTCTCTGATCATGATGTTCAACTTCTAGTTATAAAAAAATATAGAATCGATCTCTAATTATCATAATTACAGGAAACGATTCAGACTTATAAATAATGACACAATCAAAGAATTTATAATGTATCTAAATAATGAAAACTGGGAGTCAGTATTAGACAGACATGATGTAGATTCAAAATTTAACACATTCCTAAATATCTTCTTTAGAAATTTTGAAGTGAGTTTTCCCATCAAAACAGAGAAAAAGATGTTTGATAATAAAGAATGGATTACTAAAGGTATCAAAACATCTTGTAAACATAAACAAGACCTTTACCTAAATTGCAGAGCTAGTAACAACCAAATAATGAAAAGTCACTACAGTAAATATTGCAAGATATTGACTCAAGTCATTAAAGAGGCCAAGTGTATGCATTACAATAAACAGATATTAGAATTAGATAACAAAGTAAAAGCAGTCTTGAAAATTGTTAAAAAAGGAGACAGGTAAATATTCTACAGAAGAAGTGACTCCATCAATAAAGATAGAGGATAATATAATAAAGAATCCTAAACTCATAGCAAATTCTTACTTCTTAACAATTACAGAATTAACAATGAGACTACAACCATAACAACAGAAGACGCAACAAAGTATCTTGCTGAAGCAAAGCCTTTCCAAATTTAAGTCTTATGCCCACAACAACAAATTAAATTAAAAGTATAATACAAATTGACAACAAATTAAACTGGAAAACACATATTCAATACATTATCCCTAAACTAAGCTTGGCATGTTTTGCTATGAGGACAGTTGCAGCACTCATGAAAACAGAAACTTTAAAATTAGTTTATTTTGCTTACTTTCATTCCATCATGTCATATGGAATAATTTTCTGCGGAAATTCAATGGACAGCAAAAAAGTATTTTACATTCAAAAGAGGATCATTAGAATAACGGCAGGCACTGAAAGAGAGCCTCTTGTAGGGAATTATTTAAGAAGTTTAATATTCTTCCACTAGCCAGGTAATTCTTGCTTTCGCTATTATCATTTGTAGTGGATAACATATCAATTTTTCAAACAAATACAGATATCCACAATATAAGAACAAGATACAGATACAACCTTCATGTGACAAATTCTAACCTCAGCAAGTATCAAAAAGTAGTTTATTATACGTGAATGAAGTTATTCAATAATCTTCTACCTACTATCAAAAGTTTAAATGACAATATGCCGACCTGTTAATAGTAGTTATTCTCTACGTTGGAAACATGTCATATCGTGTGTTATCGAAGTGCCCTATTTATGTTAACAAATTGGTGTTCAGTGCGTACGAAGGCGATTTTTGAGTTATAAACTAAAAAGCAAAGGCATACATCTGTTCGAACTGGCTTCATGGAATATTATTGGACGGCCCGTGAAATGACAGAGACCAAAATACAGAATTTTTGACAGATTATACAGGCACTTTAAATGTTTAGGACGCTGTGACTTTAAAAGAAAGAGCTTTGTCGGTAACCGTGGGTTGTGTGGTGGGCAAAGAAGTCTGGGAAGGTGAGTAGAGTATCGAAATTTACGATAAATTCATTGCAGTTACTTGAACAAACACATTTATACTTTTGAAATAATGAGAGCCCTTATGTGTTGGTACTATGCGAACAGTTCGTTTAATGAAAGAAATTATGTACCGTTAATTTCCCGAGGGTCATTATGCCTACATGGATTCCTTAGAAAGCCAACTATAATGGCGGGTTGAAGCTTCCGAAAACTAGGTAACGATGGAAAGCCTAACCTGTGAAAATATTTGTGTTTAGGGTTACGTTTACACAGTTTATTCTTATAGATATGAACAGTTAGTGGTCCGTACTTAATTTAATGTAATAACTTATTTTCAGGTGTAAGTCAAGTTATAATAGAATTAAATATGGAACAACAATTCTGTCTCCGGTGGAACAATCATCAAAAGAATCTGACAGACGTATTAAGTGGCTTACTACAAAGAGAAGTTCTAGTAGATGTAACTCTTGCTTGTGACGGTGAAACACTGAAGGCCCATCAAACAATTTTGTCAGCTTGTAGCCCGTATTTTGAGAGTATTTTCCTACAAAACACCCACCCTCACCCAATAATTTTCTTGAAAGGTGTGAAATACTCCGAAATGAAGGCTCTGTTGCAATTTATGTATGAAGGTGAAGTTAATGTAAGCCAGGACTTGCTTTCAATGTTCTTGAAGACAGCTGAGGCACTTCAGATACGCGGACTTGCTGACAGTGGAGTTTGTAATAAAATGTCTGATAATGTGCCATCACCAGCATTGAACTCACCAGCCAGAAATTCTGAGCATCATAGTAGACCTAATAGTCCACTTCCAGATAAGAGAAAACGGAGGGCTTCTGGAAATTGTGACGTGTCTGGAGCTACAAGTGATCGATTTCATTCAGATTCTCAGGTATGAAATTGTGAAGTTTTTAATATTTTGTTACCAGTATCTGAAGCTAACCTGAATATGCAGTGTAATTCACTTGTTTATGTGGAGCATTTTCTGCCAGAAAGAAAATAGACATATTACTCATTTAATTAATTTTATTAAAGAGTATAATACCAAATTTATCATTTCAGGTGTGCTTATTGTGTATAAATTGACAGAGCTTCCAACAATACATTTTTTCCTTATTGAAAACTTTTATGAGCATATAAAAATATGAAGTGAATATTTTCTTATTTTTTGATATTGTGAATGTTTAAATCTAGCCATACAGTTACAAATTTGCATAAAGACATTTCATTTTGTGATAATTCCACAGATATATGCTACATGCTATTTTGTATATTGTTTAGTGTATGAAGCTGCTATGTTTGCCTGCGTATTAATATGTAGGATTTTGATAAATTTGTTTTATATTGGATGAAAAGAACATTTCTTCACATTTATTATACACCCAAGTTTTAATAGTTTTTGATTCATTCAATGTGTAATTAATTAATTATTGATTGCTTGTGTGTTATGAGTTTTTCATTCAGTCTTTGTCATCTTGTTCTAAACTGTTCGCATTCTGTTTTCTACTTTTGTTCACAATGTTTAGGTGAATGATTAATTTTCTGCCATGACTGGCATAGTGGAATGTAGATAGTAAAGTCAAATCCATCTTGTCATGCTTAATGCATTAACTATACTCTGCATCATCCTCTGTATTTCATGCTGCAGTCATTTTCTGACTTCCAGTCAGTGACACTTTACCATCAAATTAGCATTTCTGGTTAATTCTGATAAGAGTATGGACTCGATCCATAAGTGCAGTAAATGCAGTTTACCTGAATTATAACAGGTGATAACCAAGTTTTGCCGGTGAGTGGTTTGCTTTCCCGATTCTTACTTGGGATGTCCCATGTTCTAAGCTCAGCCTGGAGACTGGCTTTCCTGGCTGAAGTTTATCAAGGCTTTTCTCAGTTCCTCCATTCGGGTGCAGGTGCTGTTTCATTACCTTAAATTAGGTTACAACCACTTCTTTTTATATAATTTATAATTGTTCATTGTCATCATTTAAAGTAATGCTGTATGGTCTGAGCTGTTGATGATGGTAAATCATGGCTAAGTCAAATATGAATGGTGCTGAAAATTCTATTTCTGTACTTGGACGCTATCTGTGTCATTTAAACATTTGAGGTTGATGATTGAAACAAAGAAGTTTTTTGTAATTTATAAAATTGTGTTTCATATGTACAATGTATAAGCAGTCTATACCTTTAACACTGATTTTGAAATGTTAGATCACTGTGAAGTTTGTTTCAGTGATGTCTGTTGTGGTGAATATCCCAGTCTAATTATTGTTTCACTAATTTTTTTGTAAGCACAACATTTTTTAACATATTTCTTGTCCAGAAGCCGCTCAGTATGTGTGACTTTGTTAATAAGTTTGTGGATATGCATTGTGCTTGGA